CAAGCCATAGAACAGAAATATATATATATTTAGTTTATGCTTAAAACATTAAAATCTTAAACATTCCTTGTTGACTTTTATCAAATACAATATTTGTCAAGAAAAAATTAAAATCTTTAACAAAAATTCAAGTAATCTTGTATGCAAAAAAAAGTCGATAATCAGAAAATGGCAGAATCAACTGGGCAAAAATATTTAAAGAAAACGACAAGTCACTGGGGAACACGTTTAAATTTAATTTTATTTATTATACTGAACTAACCAAAACAAGAAATTTGTAAACTTTTTTTTCCAGCTGGAAAATGACCTCAGCAAATCGTAACAATACGATAATAAGTTTTAAACGATGACAACTAAGCCACAGCTACCTTCCATTGTATTAAATAAACATTTCCTTTAAAAAATTTTTCAAAATAATAGTCATCATATTTTTGCCAAAAATTCTGTTTTTGTGCTACAAACAGTTTAACATCGATAATTATTTTATCGCCAAAATCACCAACTCACAGCAGGTAATTTTTTTTTAGAAAATTCTCTTTTTTTTTTTTTCTTTTCGTTACATTAGTTTTAGTTACAGAACCTGAAAAGAACCGAATAATTTTGGCTGAGTGACAACAGTATAACAGCAAAACCGGTTTTTTCAATTACTAACGTTCTGTTTTCCAAAATCAGCAACCGATTATTTCTACTGTTCCTTTTCTTTTCCTTTCAGTGCTATTACTTTTTGCCTTTTTACCAACACATCTCTAACACGTTATACTTCTAGTTCATATTTGCACCAAGTATTTGAAGAATAACTAAGAATCAGACTAAACATTGTACTAGGACATTAGTGACTATAAACCGCAAGAAGATTAGAATGAAAACGTCTTCTGTAGTGTGTTAAACTGTTTACAATAGCTGCAGAAGCGACAAGGTTGCAGAAATGTAGTTCTTGTAATTTTGGCAAAAAAAAAAAAGAATTTTTTGTTCTAATATTTTTATAAAAATCTTCAAAACAACCAATTTTTGCAGTTTCAAATTTTAGCTATAACATCTGGAAATTTGTGCTGATAGCCGTTTTAACAGTACAACGAGATCTTTCAGACAATCATTTAGAATCTTGCTCGTTACTACTTTTAACAATTTCTAAATGATTATTTGAAAGACATCGTTGTACTGTTAAAACGGCTATCAGAAATTGTTAAAAGCTATTAGAAATTGTTAAAAGTAGTAACGAGCAAGATTCTAAAT